GGAAAAAGGAACCCACCAGGGGGAAAAAGGAACTACAGCAGCATTTGTTTTCCCGGGGGAAAAAGGACCTACAGCGGCGTTTCTTTTTCAGGGGAAAAAGGATCCCACAGCAGCATTTATTTCTTCAGGGGGAAAAAGGAACAACAGCAGCATTTTTATTTCAGGGGAAAAAAGGAACTACAGCAGCATTTTGTTTTCCCGGGGGAAAAAGGACCTGCAGCAGCATTTATTTTTTCAGGGGGAAACAGGAACTACAGCAGCATTTCTTTTTCAGGGGGAAAAAGGAACCCACCAGGGGGAAAAAGGAACTACAGCAGCATTTGTTTTCCCGGGGGAAAAAGGACCTACAGCGGCGTTTCTTTTTCAGGGGAAAAAGGATCCCACAGCAGCATTTATTTCTTCAGGGGGAAAAAGGAACAACAGCAGCATTTTTATTTCAGGGGAAAAAAGGAACTACAGCAGCATTTTGTTTTCCCGGGGGAAAAAGGACCTGCAGCAGCATTTTTTTTCAGGGGGAAACAGGAACTACAGCAGCATTTATTTCTTCAGGGGGAAAAAGGAACTACAGCAGCATGTTTTTTTTCAGGGGAAAACAGGAACTACAGCAGCATTTTGTTTTCCCGGGGAAAAAAGGAACTACAGCAGCATGTTTTTTTCAGGGGAAAAAAGGAACTACAGCAGCATTTTGTTTTCCCGGGGAAAAAAGGAACTACAGCAGCATTTTGTTTTCCCGGGGGAAAAAGGACCTACAGCAGCATTTATTTCTTCAGGGGGACACAGGAACTACAGCAGCATTTCTTTTTCGGGGGGAAAAAGGATCCCACAGCAGCATTTATTTCTTCAGGGGGAAAGAGGATCCCACAGCAGCATTTATTTCTTCAGGGGGAAAAAGGAACTACAGCAGCATTTCTTTTTCAGGGGGAAAAAGGAACCCACTGGAGGATTTTCTTTTTTTCAGGGGTAAAAAGGAACTACAGCAGCAGCCTAGGCCCTAGGGTGGTCCATTTGTTCCTGAAGTGCACTTGGAGGGTGCTGGCACATCTCTTTTTTCCAGGCAACCCAAAGCCAGTGGTCCATTCCTCCAGAAGCATCCACTTGCTTATGCTTGATTTCAGGCATGGCCGCAGACACAGCCATTCCACCCGTGGAAGGCATATAGATGGCTTTGGTTCTCTTGTGAGAAATTTTCGGGGTTCGGGACGTGCTTCTGGAACGAGGCCCCGGCCGCAAGAGGGCGAGCCGCCGCAGCTGTCCCGGAGAGAGGGTCTCCGCCGCCTGCGCGGCGGCGACGGCAGTGTGGCGCGAGGTGGGCCGAGCCTGGTGGCTGGTGAAAGGTCCAAGGGGCCCAACGGTTTTCTGGCGTCCTTTTGGTCCATGTTTCCACTTCCCAGGGCAACCCATTTTGGGTGCCGGTTTTTTGAGCCGCAGCCTCCTTTCAGAACCTACAAGCTCGAAGTTTTAAGACATTCCATGGCTTATTTTGCTGCTGGTGCAAAACGTTGAAACGTGTAGACGAGCAGTCTGCTCGTTGAGCGCAGTCGAGCTTGGCGCAGGTAAGATGCAGAGGGCCATCGATGGCAGGCTGCAAGGCAGCGTGTCGTCAGCCATCCAATAATGTTTCCAGATTCTTTCCCTGTGGATGCTGAACCTGAATACCAGCAATGTGTTGCCTTCTAAGTGGTTGAAGCGCCTCTTGCCAGCAAGTTGCCCAGCTTCAAAAACCTTGTTTGCGTTGTCGGCAGTTGCTGGAGCAATAGTCCTGTGTGGCATACCTGTGGGGCGGTGAAATGCGCTCGTTCGTGGACTTCATGTGCTGGTGTTGAGCATGCGAGCATGCGCCGTTCTGCCTTGCCCCCTCCCTCAGCATATTCTCTCTCTCTCTCTCTTGGCCGAGCCAATTGGAGTCGCAGCAAGCGGCTCCAGGCTACCCGAAGCGAGCCTTTGAGCTGTCCCGGCATGCCCGATCCCCAGCTCACAGGGCGGATGCGGTCCCCTTCCAACGGTCCCCGCAAGCTGGGCATTCCGTCAGAGAAGTCCTGAAGAGAATCAAAAGGGCTGCCAACTTTTGGATGGATTTTTGCCCATGACTGCCAATTCAATCTTTGTCGCACTCTCTCCCAAACAATTGCGTTGTTTTTTTGAAAGGGTGACAAAGCCACCGGGACTGGGTCAGTGCCCTGCGCAGGTTGTGCGGGCTGTCCTGCCAGAGAGGGTGGCGCGGCTTCTGCTGGCGATTGCCTTAGGCAGTTGAGCAGAGAAGCATGGTGGGGGAACCCACGGCAAGCAGGTGCTTGCGCTTGAGTCACCAAAGAAATGACTGCAACCCGTGAAGAGTCCATGAACTGTGCCAGTGAGCAGTGAGTTCTGAGTTCTGAGGCCATGCCCGAGCTGATAGCAGTGATTTTGGATCACCTGCCAACACCCCCGACGCCTGATGGCCTGGTACATTGGACCAGCGCGGTGGCGGGTTGAATGGAGAGGTCTGCCTCAGTGGGAGAGCTTTAAGGATCAGAGAATTCTGACCCTATCCAGGCCGCATGAGAGTCACGTGATGATCTTTGGGCGGCCGTCATGAGAGCAAAACCCATTTGGCTGCGTTTTTGGTGTCCTTTTTGAATCACAGGGTATCCTCAAAGGCCTCGTAAGGATACCCCAAGGCTTGAACAGGGTGCGCAACATTTGGTTGTTTCTCAATGTAGACCTGTCTCGCTTCCTTTTCCCCAAAGCCGTCGAAAAGATGGTGGGTGTGGGCTCCTTGAGACCCAGGCGCGAGCTGCAGCGGCTGCGCAGGGACCTGCCAGAGGATCAGCCCTGCCCCTGGGCCGGGGTTGACACGGAACGCTTCCCCCAAAGTGGCGCGAGCTTCAGTGTAGCTTTGAATAAACGGGAAGCAGAGAGGGTACGTTCAGCAAAGGGCGTAAGATCTCACCGCTCAAGGAGTTCCGACGCCGGCTGACCGTGTGGGGAGAAGGTTTGCAGATGGTACTTGTAGCCTTTGTACTGTCCCATCCTCTGGTCCTTGACCTCGTCCAGGTCAGCCCAGTACTTCGACTGCGAAAGCTTGCGGGAGGACGAGGAGCGTAGGCTGCTTTCGAGCTTTCTCCGGAAGAAACTTGGCATTTGATTTGGATGCTTTTTAACTCTTGATCCGGTGACCTTGGATATTGAACGTCCGTAGCCATTTTGACTCAACCGTTCAATTTTGGCTCAAGATTTGGGCTCAAACATGATTTCATACCAAGTGGGGATTAGCCGGGCATGGAGTCACAAAAAGGGCACAATTTGTGGTCAACGCGTCAAACTCCTGCTGGTAAACTGCCCCATGTGCCCAACACAAGTCAGCTTTTGTCTCACAGGCCGGAAAGGTAGGTTTTGGAAGGCAAGTTGCATACATAGGATTATACATATATATATATATGTACATACAACATTTAGAGAGAGAGAGAGAGAGAGAGTCATGTATAGATCTACGTGAAATCTGCAAACCAGTGAGAGCACTTGGCTTTTTGGGCAGATGGAGAGTACTTTCGCCTTGGAGGAGACGTTCTGCGTCGGCATACGCTTCACACGGCTCCAGTCCGCAGCTTGAGCAAAGCGCGTTCCATGCGTTTGCACATTGCTCGCCGGCTGGGTTTTTGCTTGCGTGCTTGCTGGCTGGTTGTTTTGTTGGTTGTTTTGTTGTTTGCTTGGTTGGGTGGTTGGTTGGTTGGTTGGTTGGTTGGTTGGTTGGTTGGTTGGTTGGTTGGTTGGTTGGTTGTCTGGTTTGTGTTTGCTTGTCTGTCTGCCTGTCTGCCGTCCGTCCATTCGTCGGTCTGTCTGTGTGTCTGTCCGTTCGTCCGTCCGTCCGTCTGTGTCTGTCTGTCTGTGTTGTTTGTTTTGTTTTGCTTTGTTTGTTTGGATCGTTTGTTTGCTTGCTTGCTTGCTTGTTTGTTTGCTTGTTTGTTTGTTTGCTTGCTGGCTTGCTTGCTCGCTTGCTGGTTTTTGATCATGCATTCATGCGTTCCAAACAATGTATCCATCTCAGTGTATATCAGTGTAACCCACACAGTAAGTGCTCCTTTGAAATTATGTTTGGACGCCTCTAGTTTTCGCAAGAGTTGTCCCTGTTTTGGGAGGTATCCTTGTAAACTAGCGGGTTTGCATGTGGGCATGTGCCATCGACTGATGTACATGTCATTGTTCGGCGATTGGTTGCTCCAACGAAACAAATCTAGCATGGGTGTAGATTTCTGGGTGGGAGTTGATCCAGACATTTCATCTCGCAATTTGTTCATTCATCTTTCCTGTCCGAGGGTTTGTTCCCAAGGGGCTGAAAACAGCGGGGGTCGTTTCTGGAACAATCAAAACTGTAGAAGGTCAGGCCCTTTTTTGGCTCTCGTTTTGGGTAGAGTCTAGGCTTGGCGCTGTGGCCTCATGGCAACCGCAACACGCGAGGTACGCGCGGCTGGTGAGCCTCCGATGCCAGGTGCCGCAGCGCTTTGCGCGGAAGCGGTGGAAGCTGCCTGGGCCTTGGTGCCCTGCCTCCGGCAGAGAGCCACGAGCCCCTTGCCGATTGTTGGGCAAAGACCCGATTCCTGAGCTAGACGAACAGCCAGCATCCTTTTTTGGGTTGGGGGGACGAACCGCCAGCGTCGTTTTTTTTTTTTTGGTTTTTGGTGTGTGTGTAGGAGATGTTCGCAGGCCCAAGGGCGGCCAAACCAGCGAGAAGGCCATGCAGCTGGGTGCCATGCTCTGCGCTGGCCGGGAAGCACAGGGGCGCCGATCCGCACAACCCTCCTCTACAAAAACAGTACGTAGAAAGGGACATCCTACAGGAAACCCCCTGGCTTTTGGAGGTTGGCGAAAATTGTAGAATTCCTCGTAGGTTTCCGTGAGCTGTTCAATGTAAGACCCTAAAAATGAAACAACCTGCTGATGTTGCGCATGGGCGCAGTTAGAGATGTATGGGAAGTTCAACGTGTTTCCTGCACTGAGTTTGAGGTGGAGAGACGAACAGGGGTGGCAATCCGAGATTTCGTGGTCCTTCAAACAACAGTGCAGACAAGCACCAGCCGCAAAGATGTATCTCGCGCTGCTCTTTCTTTTCTTTGCGACTGGGCCAGCGCTATCGTCGGCATAAGAGTGCATGCCTTTTTGTAACACGTGATGGTGCCTCCTGTTGGAGCTTCGCGGGACAGGCAGCCTTGGTTTCAGTAACAAGTCAACCTGCCTTGGAAACGACCGTTCGCCAGTTGCGAAGAAAGATACCTCAAGGAAAGAATGCAGACTACAAAATAGCCGATTCTTGGCGGACTCATTGCCCTTCATATCTTCTGCTCTTTTTTTTCTTCCCCGGCTCTAGTGGCTTTTGGCTTCTGGCTTTGGCAAGTACGGCTTTGAGCTTGTGGCATTGCACTCGAACTGCAATGCGGGGGGGGGGGGGACCTCTCCCAAATTAAACCCGAACCAACCCTAACCCCACCCTAAAACTACTGGGCATCATGATGCTTCGTTTGTTGTTCAAAGCTGGCGACAGCAAGCAAAGTTCGAAGTCATAAATTGTGCGCGTGCGGGCACGCCAAACAAGCACCTGACCCCCCATCTCATTGATGCCACAAGATCCACCAACAAAACGAGAGACCAGAGTGAGGTACATACCTGCGCACGCAAGCTCAAGCGCAAGGCGTTTACACATTGTCAGAACGAATTGTCAACAGTATTTTGTCAGGACGTACCCGTCAATCATCGGCGCGTCAGCTTTAGACATGACAACAAACTGCCATGAGGGGAATCCCTCATGAACTTATCAATCGGCCCAAATTCTGGCTGCCCAGGCCTCGAGGCTGCCTACTTGCAGGGCACTCGCAGCGCCCGAGCCTCGATTTTCCGCTTCCTCGCTGAATCAAGACCCGCAATTTTTGCGACCCGCGCGGTGTCGGGGTCTCTCACCCTCACTAGTTGACCATGGGGCAACGTGCTGCGTGTGGGACCAAAGCTCGGGGGTGGCTGCATTCTTCGAGGTTCCTGAGGTTCCTTCGCTCTCAGCCGCTCTCGTCTCTTTCGTTTCAACTTCAGACAGTTCCTGCTCGTCGTTGAGTGGGTTCGTGTCAGCAAAGGTGCCCCGAGTAAGAATCTCAAAGACCCAGTTGCCACGTTTTGGGCAACATGCGCAAGAACTCCAACCCCCTGGCTCCTCTCTGTAAAGACCCCGGTCTTGTCCGCCTTGAACTAAGAGACGCCAATGATTGCCTCACACATTGATCGAACCAAGGCCACAGCTGTGCTTCGCTGGCGTGAGGCGTGTGGGGTGCATACAAGTTGCGGCCCTTGGGGGGAGGGCTTTTTAAAGGTTTTCCGTTTGACGTGGCAGGTCCCGGAGGTCTTGCCCTGGGCGTGCTCAGCTTGGGCTTGTGCTCTGAGTCACTTGTGCGGCCTATGCGAGCTCCTCCTTGGCCCGAAGCAGCAAGGTCTGACCCGCATTTTCGGCACCACCTGTGTCCTGAGCCGGCCCCTCAGTGTGTTGGCGCTAAACCCACGTCAGAGAGAGAGGACATGCCTGCTTGCCGGCTTCTTGTCGGATGGACATGGACCCCCCGGATAGCTTTTCTCTGCTTGTTGGACAAATTGTGGAGTTTTTCTTCTACTCCATGGCGTGATCACTGGTTAGCGCGTTCTCAACTTCCTCAAAGAAGGGCACATTTCCACTCCCGGAGGGCAGCCCGTTAGGAGTGGGCTTGTTTTGCCAATTCAGCTAGTCATAGTCCTAGCATCTTTTTAACCAGCGTTGACCCCGGATTGGGAGGGTGTTTCCCGCAAAAGTGAAGGATCTCGCAAAAGGAGACGCTCCAATTGTACAACTGGTGTGTGAATCCTTTTCGGTTTCCTTTCTCCGGGGCTCTGGTTGAGGTTGCTGCAGTCCACCTCTGCGCGTCGAGCCTATGCTCAGTGCGCTTGGCAGGTTGAGAAACTATCGGCTGTGAAAAGCTTGCAAGCCAGCTTTTTAACGGGGAGTTGTAATTTGTATATGCAGTTCCCGTCCTTTTGACCCCTGCGCATCGGTGAATCAGTTGGCCCATGTTGAATCAGGCTCGGAAAGCTTCGTCTATGCTTGTGGCATATCGAGATCCTCTCGCCCGAAGCGCCCAAAGCTTTCGCCAGGCAAGACAACCTCGAGGAGCCCTTCCGAGAGGCGCCGGCCGAGCCGAAACTCTGCCGGGGGCGGGGTGTTTTTTCGCGTGTTTGGGGTGGTTGTACGCGAGCCCGAACAGGGCAGGGGGTTCGGCTAAGGGAAATTTGGATGTGTTGCCCCAAACGTGGGGTGGGGGGGCATTTGCACACTTGGAAGCCAGCTCTGGTTGGGTGCTCTTTGGATTTCAAGTGTTCTTTCTCCCTGTAAACAAACCTCGAAGACCCTCACAAGAAACAGATTCGCTGTGGCGGCATGGCCAGCTCAGGCCTTGCTCCGCGCCTTACAAAATCCGGTGCTAAAGGCGCGCTCCGGAAACCTGTTGTTGTTTTGTTCGGCATTTCCTTCTGGGTCGAAACTTCAAACAGGCACTCGCAGGGAGGTCTCTTTGTCGTCCGAGAGACGTGTTTGGTGGCTGGTTTTGATAACTAGACTTCCTGCAAGCTATGTTGGTGCGACAGTCTAAGGCCTTTGTGCATGGTTGATCAGTATCAGGGGGTGCCCTTTCTCGACATATTTTAAGAGGAAGGCTACGGAAGGTTCGGGTGTTTCAGAAAGGGGTTCTTTGGCCCCAAACTCCCGAGATTGGGTTCGGTTTCAGCGCAATCGGCCGAAGCTGCGAGGAATTGCCCCAAACACAGGTGGTCTGCGAGGGTCGGTCACGATTTGGATGGCAATCACACGATGCTTGAGGGTGATATGTTTGCGGCCATGGGCTCAATGGCTCAATCTGTTTACCCCATTGCGCATGATGCTTTCTTCTGCCGTACTTGAGGAAATATGGCCATGGTTCAAAACCAATGGTACCATTTTGGGATAGGTGCACCACCCATTTTAGTCTATTTTAGTGGGGATTGGGCTGTTCTCTGGGGGTACGGGGTTTTGGCCCATGGCCATATGATGAAACATGAGCTGGCAGAGGCCCTGGACCCGAGATTTTGGAGCCCCAAAGCTCAAAGCCCAAAGCTCGGGCATTGGAGCAAGTGGCAGGCGGTGCGTTTTGAGGAGCACTGGCGTGCGGCGGGCTGAAGCTCTCCGAACGAACACATCGACAAACCAGCTGGGTTGGGCAAGACATGGTTGGCTGGTTGAGACAAGCATACAGCAGGATGTCTTGCTTGCAGCAGGGAGTCAAGAGTCAAGATGACCTTGCAACACTGGCAGGTCAATCATGTTCATCATGCTTTGGCTCACTCCTGGCAGACAAACCATGGCTGAGGCTACTCCACATTTCCATTGTAAGGTTGCAGTTTGGGGTGATCTGCTTACAGATGTTTAGGTTGACGCATGACCTGCGCACTCTTGGTCGGGCTTTGCATACAAAGAAGACATGAAGCTGATGCAAATGCTTCGGCGTTGCTTCATGCCAAGGATCGGGACGATCCAGAAGACTGGATGCAGGCAACTGGTTGAGTACCGCTGCCAGTTCAAATGGGGGGCAAGGAGACAAGCGCCATGAACAGCTAAGTTTTGTGTTGAATCAACGTTATGCTCAAGCAGAGCATTTGAGGTGCTTGCCAGAGTACCAGAAAGGATCTTCCGGGCCATGAGGAATGGTTCATCGTCCGAACCAACTCACAGACTGGGTAAAGAGGATGGGCCCGTGGCCGCGGCGCAGGTCTCGCAGGAAGATTTGGATCGCGACATGAAGGCTACTCGGGCTGCAAAGTCTTACTGGGGGCATTGAGGCGCCCAGGGTTGCCTGTCAACTGCCGAGCCTTGTGAATATTTTGCTGCAGGCTCTTCTAAGGTTTCTTTTCGCAGCCTTTTGTTTTATTTGTTTCAGCAGGAATGCCAGAGGTTGAAGTCTGAGCGCTAGGCTGGGGTCTGGAGGCTTTCAGCTTGAGGTGCGACAGGCAGAGTTTGACAGCTTCGACCAGAAGCGGCCACTTGGCAGTGAGACTTTTGCAGGCTGCCGTTTTGGCTCTTGCCGCCGAAAAGGGTTGGGCCTTGACAAACTCAGTTGGAATTGCAGGCTGCAATTGCAGGTTGCAATTGGAGCTATGCGGGGGGGGGGGCAATGAGCGAGTGGCAGCAAGGAAATGTTGTTGCCAGGGGCAAGTCGGAACGAGGAGAACAAATCAGACGCACTTGGTGCGCGAGAGTCCTTACATTCTGATTCCAGTGTGGTTGTCCAAGATCTCAATCCTTGTCCATTTGCTGCTCTACTCAGAAAATAGGTCAGAAAGCCACCTCATGCCCCCTGACATATGCAACATGGATTTTCTTAGGCTGTTCGGGCCGGGGGGCTCTGCAAAAAGCCCCACCTGTACTTCGCAGTCCTCGGATCCACGAATTCGCGTCAACATCATCGTGCATGTGTCAAGCGGCCGGCCGCCTGAGGCAGAAATCCAGCGCCGCCTCTCAGGCGTGGACTTTCCTCGAGTAGAGTTCTCCAACTTCAGGGCTCTTGGAGGTCGCTCTTTGATGTGCTTGGTCTGAGCTGACCACCTTTCATGTAACCTGGGAAAAGGGTTGCCTCAGCCGGGTCCAATGCCGCCGTCCAAGCCGAGGGACCTTCAGCAGAGGAGCCGGGCCCATGGAGCGAGCCGTGCAGTGCTTGCTGGCTAGGGCTACCAATGCGTACGTCAAGCAGGGCAATCCGGTCCATATGATATCGATCCCTAGTGTGCTGCACGATTTTGCTAAGAAGCAGGATTCTTTCAGTGAGGAAAATCTGCATTTGCTCGAGTGTGGCCCAACTTTGGGTCGGCTTGTTTTCTGGAGAACTCCTTTTGCCGCGTGTGGAGCGAGTTTTTGGAGGCTGCAGAAGGAGGTGGCCGCCATGGGCTCGAAGATCTCTCAGCTCCTGCAAGGCCCGGGCATCGCTGCCGCGCGTCGGCGTCGACCCGAGTTCGGTCGGCGCGTGCCAGGCTCCTCCTCCGTGGACGGCGTGGAGGCGGATGCGCCTGCCGCCTTGGGCCTACGAAGTCGAACCAGCCACGGGTCAATGGATATTTTGCGCCAGCTTTCTATAGTTCTTTGCTGTTTCCTATTTGGAGCTTAGGTCTTGTAGGGTTCGCGGGATTTGCATCGACGGCCTTTTGAGTGTTGGTTGGCCTTGGCTTGAGGCCAGCACGCGGCCTGGCTCGGACAGTGCCCCGGCTCAGAGTGTCGATCCGTCGATCCCTGCCAGTCCCTTGCTTCGCTTTGGCTCCGGACTTGGAACTGAGGTGGCAGCGACTCAGAATCGGAAGACTCAGTCGTGGGCTCAGTCACCATGGATTTCAAGCCCAGCGCTTTTTGGCACTTCAAGGCATGGGGGGAGGCTTCGATAGCTTTTGCATGCGCCCAGGCCAAGCAACTCGACGTTTTGGGCATGGAGGAGGATGCAGAAGAGGCTGGGCAGCACAGTATCATCCCTGCCCCGTGTCGCAAGCTCGTGCGCTATGGACTCACCTCAGTTGTGTAGCTTTCAGGCCAGCGATCATGAAGACGGGAGTGATGAGGAAGGTGGGCGGATGCAGGACGCTCATGTGTTCTTGTGAGTACTCTGGTGTTTCCTGCGACCCCAGAGCCTTGAAGCAAGGACTACTTCTCAGAGCTGGATGACCAGCTGGAGGGCGTTTTGGACGGTGAGGCCGCTGAGGAGGCGCGGGCAGATGTTCTATGCACCTCGCATGTCCACGAGCCTTGCATAGGAGACGCCCGACCGCTTGCCCCTGAGCTCTCGGCACGTGAAGGCGATGCCAATGCTGATACTGCTCGTTTCACACCACTGGATGAACCCCGCAGGTCCATTCAACAGATGGTGTGGAGCTGGACATGCACGCAATGGAGCACGCGCATTTGGCCGAGTTTGACATTCTGCTGGTTTTAGTTTGGTAGATCGATCCAAGGGTCCTGCAAATGCGGGGACGGGAGATCGCCAGCTCTTGCACGATCGATGGGAGCAACGTGCCAATAGAAACCCCTGAGTCGCCAGGTGCTGGCCTCTTTTTGTTCTGAGAACCGGCTGGAGCGGCACGCTAAGAATGGACAGTTTGTTGCTTGGGCAAATCGCCTGCAAGCAGGGGGGGGGTTCCTTCCAAACCACCAAGAAAAGCTGATGTCGCATGGAACGAGGCCGGGCCCGGCCACGTTGCTCCTCGGGGAGCTCGGCTTGGGAGGCGCCAATTTCCTGAAGTTCAAATGTGCAAATGTCTGTCTCGTTTTAAGCCATGGTAAGAGGCAGGAATGAAGGCAACAAAGACACGTACCAGACAAATCCAGAATTCTGAGCTGAGACCCGGTCAACATGTCCAATCTATGACGCTTGAGACAGGAACAACAAACTGGGAACAAATTGATTTCTGTTGCACATAGCAGTATATTTTGACACTTTACCTGATATGCATTGCTTGCAACTTTGTGCACATTTTTGCTACAGGAATGACATCGACTTCATCTTTGGATGGCCTCGACTAAACAACATCAAATTTATCAAGATAAAGAACAAGAACCAATTTTATTTAGTTTATATAATTTCAATTTTGAATAAATCAATACTATTAAAATTATATGGATATATTAATATTGATTTACTATATTTATTATGAAGCAATATTGTTCTTGATATTAGTTATATTTAAATTATATATAATGAAATTATTTGGTGTTATTTCATGGGGTTTTACACTACCCCCCCCCCAACACTCCCCCCCCCACTGGGACAAGAAAATCGCACATGCCCAGTGTCGAAATAGCCCACAAATAAGGCTTATTTAGGCCTTATTTCCAATACATACAAAACAAGGCTTAATTAAGCCTTATTTTCGGGGGCCCAAGTGGTGAAAAAACAAATAGACCCTAAATAAGGGTTGTTTGGCAACAGCTGTGTTGCACAGTTTTTTTGAGCAAGCCGACCTGATGAAGTCTATTTTTCTGAATCTAGCGTAGCTGATTAGTGCCATGTCTGTGGTGGCCAGTGATATCAGAACACAGTTTCTTCGAACCTCACAGGCTGTGATTGCAATTTTCTTGGCTTCTGATGGCTGCCAGGAAAGGTGGCAGGCTACAAAGGTTGCTCTATGGCGTGGAGCAAACCACCCGGAAGCTGCCAAGTGGACGCGGAGGGTCAAAATAAACTTTTAAATAAGTTCTATAAAAGGATTTGGCAGACGCGGAGTTGAAAAATAAGGTCAAAATAAGCTCAAAATAAGCTCTAAATAAGGATTTGGCAGACGCGGAGTTGAAAAATAAGGTCAAAATAAGCTCAAAATAAGCTCTAAATAAGGGTTTTGCAGACGCGGATTTGAACAATAAGGTCAAAATAAGCTCTAAATAAGCTCTAAATAAGCTCTAAGTAAGGATTTGGCAGACTCGGAGTTGAAAATAAGGTCAAAATAAGCTCTAAATAAGGATTTGGCTGTCCCCGTGAGCAAAAAGAACAATGAAACGCGGAGTTGCAAATAGGCTCTAAATAAGCTCTAAATAAGGGATTTGGCTGTCCCCGTGAGGACGCGGAGTTGAAAAATAAGGTCAAGATAAGCTCTAAATATCTAAATAAGGATTTTGCTGTCCCGTGAGCAAAAAACCAACCCCGGAAGCAAATGGACTGGTCGAAATCGGATCGGTGCGTCGCAAACTATTCAGTTTGTCTGAGCTCTAACACTTCTTATCGGGTTTGGATTTGGGCTTGAGTTTCAGGCCGACCACTGAGGCGGACCCCAAACCTCAAATAAGCCATATTTCTCGCAGCTTGCCTGCAAGACTGGATTGGTCCAAAATGCGAATCTCACAGCCTATTTCAGTGGGGGGGGGGAGTGTTGGGGGGGGGGGGGGGTAGTGTAAAACCCCAGATTATTGATTTGTTTTTTGAATTTATTTAAACTATAATAAATATTGTTTATTTTTAATATATATATATATATTAAAATACCGATTAAGTTGACTTTTTTTGATTATTATAAAACAATAAATATAACAATTTATTAATTTTTATATTGATTATATATATATAAATAATATATGGAATAAAATTCGATTACTATTTTTGATTGGTATTTTTGGTATTTTTGGAAAATGTTTTATGATATAGTATTTATTATATTGTAGATTGTTGGAACATATTTATATATGTTTTTAGTGCTTTATCAGATATTTTTGTATATGGAAAGGAAGGGGTTGAATTCTTTTTTGTTTTTGTTTTGTTTGTCTTATTAATTGTGTATTTCTTTTTCGTTTTTTGTTTTTGTGTTTGTTTGTTTGTTTTTCGGTTTTTTGTATTTATTTTTGTCTTTATTTTTAAGTTTGTGTTTGTGTTATATATGTATTTCTTTATGTATTTCTTTTGGTATTTATTTCGATGTATATTTTTATTTTTATATTTTTATATATTTATATTTTCTGTGTATTTTGGTATTATTGTGTTTGTATTATAATTTCATTTTATGTTTTGTATGTTTGTGTATTTTTTAGTATTTTTGTATGTTTTTTAGTATGTTTTTTGTATGTTTTGTATGTTTTGTATGTGTTGTATGTGTTGTATGGGAAAATTGACATATTTTTAATCGGAGACTTGCTTGTTACATTATTTTTTGTTGGGGAAATGTCTTCTTGAGGATTTTTAAGAATGTTGGATTGAGAATTATTTTTGTATTTGTATTTTATATAGTTCCCCGATAATTGTGTTGTTAGTTTTATTTTTTGAGTTTCTGGTTGGTTTTATATTTAAATATATATTATACTTCTCGATTTATTACTCTGTTTCTTCTTTTCTTTGTATTGTTTTTTATTTTTATATTTTTAAATTTGATTATATATTATTGCTTTTTATTTTCATTAGAAATCCTCAAAATTTTGAAATTTCATAATTTCATTTTACAGAATAAATTTTAGTTATATATAAATATGATCGTAAAGAGCGTTTATGAAGGAAGGGCCGATCCGTGCATATTCGCTTGGATTTGTGTTTCTAATATAATGATTCTTTTTTTGGAATTTGTGTCGAATATAATAATAATGACGGTAAATGTTCATGAATATAAAATATATAGAATATATAATATGATTTTATTTTCATATTTCATTTTTATTGATATTTGATTTGAATAAATTCATATTCTTTTTAGATTTGATAGTTCTATAATACTTGCCGGACAGAAATCCGGAAATAATAATTTCAATGAAAACATTTATTGAGGAATTCCATTCTTTGGCAATTCTTCGCTGATTTCTCGAGTATCCGAACAAAATTATTTTGGATATACATATATTTATATACAGATTTAATTATATATTATCCTGAAATTAATATAAATTAAATCGAACCTATGTTTCTTAATTTCGGATGCTAAATCCTCCAATAGATATCTAATGGATTAATCTATAATTATTCGATATATAGAATAAGGTCGTAATAAGGGTTTAGCTAGCATTATTAATTTCTGAATAAGATCTCAATAAGTCCTTATTTAGGAAAATGCTTTCTTTTATTTTTTTTTATTAATCAAATCCTGTTAAAACAATTTATAAAAATATTTCTCGAATATTTAATAAAAAATTATTTCTAATTTATCCTTAAGAATTTATCCTTAGATAATTTTGATTGATCCTACCCTACCCCTAATTTGACTTATATTTGCTTTACCTTGATTTATTATTTATCCTCGACTTATTCTAATTTATCCTCCATGTATTTGTATTAATACATTTATCTTAATTTATCCTTAGCTTAATTTATCCTAATTTATCCTTGACTTAGTCATAATTTGTCTCATTTTATTCATAGCTTATCCATAAACATTAATTTAAAGCAACCAAATAAATATGTATTTGAATATTGTTTTACAAATTAAACATAATATATACTATTAATATATCTAATCTTAATATATTAAGAGAGAAACATATTATATTAATCCGAAACTAACCCTTAATACACTAAATAATCTATTTAACATTCTCCTATTTATACAATTATATTTACTCTATAAAACGAAACCGTGAAACTTGCTCGTCGCACTTACGCGCGTTTTCCCGGACCGCTTTTCCGAAAAATCCGGATATTTCGGAAAATTGGTCCGGGCTGCCCCTGGAAGATGCAACCGCTTCATATTTCCTACGGACCGCTTACAGCCCAGCCATAATCCGGAAGATGCAGTGGCTTCATTTTTTGTGGGAACCAATTTTCCGTTCCAGCTATTTCAGGAAAACCGCAGCCACCCACCATTTTCTCGAAATATTCGGGAAATGCTGTTGTCGAAATATCCGGAATCTTTCGTAAAAATGGTCTGGAGTGCAATTATCGAAATGTCCGGGATATTTCGGAAAAATGGTCCGGGCTTAGAACGAAGCCGTTGTGTCTGCCAGATAAAGAGTCGGGGCGTATATCTGCCTGTCCGTAGCAATTTTGGCTGAAATCTTGGCCCATCTTCCGAGAGTTTGGCGATGCGAGAAACTGTGAGCCGCGGCCGATTGTTGCGACCAGTGTCGCGACCTGTGTTTGGAGAACGGCAGCATGCTTTTCGCGCGCGACGGGTATACATTTTTTGAAACATATGAGATGATAAAATATGTTGGTGCCTGAGTTGCAAAAAATATCTTGCCGGCGCGGGCTCTATAAGATTTGCTCTGTTCTTGGCACACCCACCACGGCCTGGACCTTACCCCTAATTGCTGGTTTGGATTAGTGGCTGGATCATGTTGAAGTTCAATGGGAAACCACCCCCTAACCTCCAAAACACCGATCCAAACGACCAATCCAAACTGGGCCGGTAGCAACCCGGGTGCCCAGCCCAAAGAGGGCCGCCGAACACCTGCAACCGCCTCCTAGCCACGGGCCAGAATACAGCCGTCGTGGAGGGCAAGGAGAGCGGCGGGGCAGCGCCAAGACAAGCGCGTGACACACCGTTTCCCACTGCTCGTTCCACTGGGCGAGGGCGCCAGGCAACAAACGGCCAGCGGCCGCGTGCAACTGGGGCACGCGCAGCCGAGAGCTCGCACGCACATTCTTACAGCCCGTCTGCATCACGCTCTCGGGCTCGGAGTCGGACGCGTGCACGTGCGCAGGCGAAGCCTGTGGCATGTTGACAGCGCGCTGCGCGCCGAAGGTGTGTCTCTTCTTGTCTCTGTCTCTCTGTTGTGTCTGTCTCTGTCTCTCTTTGTCTGTTGGTCTCTCTGTCTGGTTTCTTTGTCTGTCTGTCTGTCTGTGTCTGTCTGTCTGTGTCTGTCTGTGTCTGTCTGTGTCTGTCTGTGTCTGTCTGTGTCTGTGTCTGTGTCTGTGTCTGTGTCTGTGTCTGTCTGTCTGTCTGTCTGTGTCTGTCTGTGTCTGTCTGTGTCTGTCTGTGTCTGTCTGTGTCTGTCTGTGTTTGTCTCTGTGTCTGTGTCTGTGTTTGTGTCTGTCTGTCTGTGTCTGTCTGTGTCTGTCTGTGTCTGTCTGTGTCTGTCTGTGTTTGTCTCTGTGTCTGTGTCTGTGTTTGTGTCTGTGTCTG